TCTGTTCGTGTTTGTGGTCTTCCTTGTCAGGTGCCATCCAGCTGGCCCGGCTCGTAGTGACCCCATATACTAGCAGGAAGAAACACGGCGGTGTCCCGCGCCGTCCGTCTGCACAAGTGTTGCTGTGTCGAGCCCGTGGTCACAGAAAAGAGGAAGGTGCTCAGGGCGATGGACTGAGCCAGTCATCTGTTCATAAGTACCACCGGCTCATGCCCCTTGACTTTGCCGCCTCCGAGGGAGCCCTTTATGGCTCTGTCCTTTCAGCACCCTGGCCACCGCCTCTCCTGACTAGCCATCTTCACTGAGCCCATCCTCTGGCTAGTGTCTGATGAGGTGAAAGCAGACGGGACTGCCTTGTTCACGACAGGCGTCTTGCCACATCCGCGCACCTGGTGGGTGCAGTCCCAGGTGATGTGTGCAGATCATTATGGCCCAGGGTTGGGTTGCAGGCTTGACAGTTTATCCTTTTGTGTCATCAGGTTGGGGTGCATTGATTCCTGTTTCAACCGGATCATAGAAAACACACTCAGCAATCTAGACAGAGCCTAGATTTCCCTAGTGAGGGGACTGTGTGGACGCCTGGCCACTGGCATTCAGGACCCCCAAGTTCCCAGGTGCTCCCCAGAACCAGGCTTGGGGAGCGTAGATCGGCACAGGGATATTTCATCCAGGCTGTGGGAGAGGCAGGATTCAATTGGCCTCAGTGTTCATGCTACTTTTCTGGCAATCACAATATTAATATTCGTGCCCTACACACAGACCTGCTCCTCATCGGCTCCTGGGGCTTGTCTCCTGGGGACACATTCTCAGTCTCTGATATGGGATGCCCTTGATCCTTTTTTCTAGTAACTTGACACGGCTTCAGTGGGCTCTGGTGGCCATTAGCTACATTTCTCTCTGGTTGCTTCTCGTGGCCTTCATGGCATCCATACACTGGGCCCCGCCTCGGGGTGAGGTGGGGGCGGGGGTGACTTGCTTCTGGGAGGGTTTCTCAGATGACTGCCCACACACAGTGAGGGTTCACATTCACCACTTCCCGGGAGCCTGGCTTCTGCCATGTCCTCCATGGAAACTTCTATGTCCCTGTGGCTTTACGAGACCAACTGCTCGTGTATCCCACTGCTGCGGTGTCTCTGGTTCATCACCCCCTCATTCCTTTTTTCCTTTTGCAGCTACTCCCGGAACCGGACCTTTGACACGTATATCGGGCAGGGCTACGTGATCCCTGGGATGGATGAAGGCTTGCTTGGTGTTTGCATTGGAGAGAAGCGGAGGATTGTGGTCCCCCCTCACTTGGGGTACGGAGAGGAGGGTCGAGGTGAGCACTGTGTACCCTGTGTTGTTACCTGTGGGCTGCTTCCCCACTGCTTGAAATGAGGCTTCTAAGGAGCCTAAACACTCAAGTCCAGGTTAAGACTTGGATTCCCGACCTGCTTGAGTTTCTCTCCCTGTCTTCGGGTCGACGCCACTCACATCGACCCTGTGGAACAGGGAGTTTCCGAGGCCGTAACTGCCTACGAGAGTAGAAAGCTCTGTCTTTCTCCCCGAGGAGCCGCTGGTGTGTTTTCAAACTCTGGACCTTATGGAGCGCGGCTGAACACGTAACCACTAGGGTCCATAGTATTTCTCCTTGTTCCCTTGCCCTGCTTTCCTTTCCTCTATAAACTCTTCCACCTGCAGTGAAGTTGAAAGCTCCGGTTGCCCATGGCACTGTCCCCGGCCGGCCGTGTGAGGGTAAGCTGCCAGGCAGGCCTTCCCTTTGGTCTGTGTTTCCATCTCGATGTCTCTTGGTTGAGGAAAAGCTTACCTGCCATCACAGGCATCCACTGGACGATTTCCAGTCGCTTGACGGAGTCATGCAGTCCTCACCGTAATTTAGCTTTAGAACATTTTCTATCACCGAGTAATAAACCC